GCAAGGAGAGGTGCAGAGAGTTGTGAGGGCTTGGCTGGTGAATGGATTATAAATTCACCTCACTCACAGCTGAGGCATCTTCAGAAACTGCACTGGTTTAACCAGAACGATAACTGCCATACCTTCCCAGTGTGCATAGCATATTCAAATTTGTGGAATATCTGAAATAGTGCAGTGGAAAAGCAAGAGAGTTTTGAATGTTTGTATAGAAAACTTAGATATATTTCTTTTAGGCCTTTATTATTTTAAGGAAGTTTATTATTGTTATTATTATTATTGAAGGAAGGAAGTTAGGGAGATCTGCTCATCTTATTTCATCCAAATAAAGTAAGATCTTTCTTTGAGATAGGTCTTCATTCCTATAACAACTCTTGCACAAGACCAAAATCTGAACAAGCTGTGAAATAAGAAGTGGTAAGGAAAATCACCAACACCATTTGGGTGATGAGAGGGTTGAATGCATTGCTCCACAGAGCTCAGTGATTTGTTTAACTGTGCATGGCTCAGGTGCTCTGCTAGGAGACATCTGAGGATACTTTGTGTGGGTGAATCCAGAGGTCTGCTGAAGAGCAGTGGAAGCGTGTGCTGTAAATAAAATGAAGTGACACATTCTGTAGTGCTTAAACAGGTAATGCCATTGCATTTGATTGCATCTACTTGGAAGCCTCCTTGTGAGCAGCCTAAAGAATAAGGAGACTGGAAAAGCAATTACATGGTGAGAAAAGATGACAATATTATTGACTGATTGATATTGAATGTGCAAGTTGTGCAAAACATTCCTCATTGAAAGCCGGTCTTGATTTTTGGATTTGATTCATTTTAAGAGAGCAAGCTGACATTAGCCTTCAGAAATCAGATCTAACATATCAGGCAGTTAAAGCAAAGCAGTTGGAACATCTATTTTTCAAATTAATTCTGAGTTTCTTGTCCAACTATGAGTTTGACTGGATACCCACAAATTAGTGTTCAATTGCCTTTGAGCTACCCTGGGCTTTGCTGCCTGGGCACCAGCTGAGTGCTCATTTGCCTCTCTATCCCATATCAGATCTGCAAATTCTGTATTGACACAGCCCAAATGAACATTCCCAATGGCAATAGTTTCTTGCCATGGACTGAACTAGCTGTCTATGTGTAGACAATTAATTCAAGCCTTTAGCTCTGGGCTAAGGCTAAGCTCCAGCCTGTACCAGCAATAATGTGGCCAGCAGGACCCGGCAGTGGCCATCCCCTGTGCTGGGCACTGCGGAGGTCACACCTCAAATCCTGGGGTCAGTTTTGGGACCCTCATGATCAAAAGGACACAGGAATGCTAGAGCATGTCCAAAGAAAGGCAATGGAGCTGGGGAAGGGTCAGAAGCACCAGTCTGCTGAGGGAATGTCTGAGGGAGCTGGAGGGCTCAGCGTGAAGGAAAGGGGGCTCAGTGGGGATCTTCTTACTCTCTACAGCTTCCTGAAAGGATGGTGTAACCCCTGGGGGTTGGTCTCTCCTAGTAAGTACCAAACAACAGGAAAATCAAATAGTCTCAAGTTGTGCCAGGGTTTAGATTGGTTACCAGGAAAATTTCTTCACTGAAAGAACATTGAAAAATAATTGAATGCATTGGAACAGGCTGCCCAGGGAAGTGGTGACAACCATCTGTGGAGGGAGACAAAAGCCATGTGGATGTGGCACTTGAGGACATGGGTTAGTGGTGGCCTTAGTGGCTGGGGAAACTCTTGGTCTTTATGACCTATGGGGTCTTTTCAAACTTAAATAATTCCATGATTCTAATATACGCATAAATGCAATCATCAGCATATGAGCTTGTGGTCAATTTACAATCTGTTTACCACCCAAGCCCTCATAACTCTTCACACCTCTTTGTGGAGCTCTAGTCAATGAAGCTGAAGAGAGGCTTGGCTCGTTCCATGTCAGGGCTGTGGGTCTCCCAGAAAAACTGACTCTCCAGCTCGTGGATGTAGAGACTGTATGGGAATTTAGATGTCTGTCAGGGGACTCAAATGTCCTAATCCTTCATGTTGGTACTTCTTTTTTTTTTTAGCCTCCCTCAATGACTTAAATGCTGTAATCTGGGCTATAGAGTGAGACAGAACTAATCATTGGTGGTTCACACACCTCAGCCTTCCTTACGAAACAGGAGATGGAGGTTGTGGTGATTTTTCTTTCTTTTCTCCTATAACATAGTGTTCAGAGCACATATGACACATCATGACTTAATGTCCTCCTCTAGGAAAGAACATTGTTTTAATTAGTATTTTGTTAAATATGGGAGCATGGTACTTCCCAAGTGTTCTGTTCAAGCTGTTCCCCTCTGCCTTCTGCAGTCCCAGCAGTCAGATCTTTGTGTGGAGAGAATAGTTCTGTCCTCCAGAGGTTACCTAAATCTCCTTTAAGGAGCACAACATTCTGCATACTGAGACAAAACTGCAGATAAATTGATAGGATCCATGTAGCACTCCCGCTGGCCTGGAAAGGGGGACAGCATTTAAAGAATAGAAAACACCCATGAGGAGAGGGGAGAGAACCAGACCAGCCACCTAGACAGGGAGTTATCGTGGCTGCTCCATTTCCAGCCACACTTCCTACAGAGCTTTATCCACAAGCCATGCTTTGGCAATATCTATCTACTTAGGAGAGGAAAGTTCAAAGTAAGAGTTCTGTTGGGGCTTACACACATATGAAAATGGTTTTGTGCTGTTTGTGGCACTTCTGAATATTCCAAGAAGCAGAAATTCACAGGAAATTTCCACATCAAACATAGTCTTCTAGAGACTTCAGGCACCAGGTGGAAGAACTAGCAGCTAAACAAAGACTGTAAAGATTTATATTTTAGGTTTAAATATCTAGAGTATCAGTTAAAGCACCCAAATAATTTTCTGGATCTTCACCTCAGTGGGCATCATTCTTTCCAAACAGGAAAGGAGCTTGATTTAGGGGTGATGGGTCCATTTCAACAATTCCATTTCTTGCCCGATGCCTGTGGTGTAACACAGGGACACATTAAAGAAAACACGGGGTCTTGAATCACATATGATATGGGGTTCATATTCTGCATCTTTCCACCAATCAGCCCCATTGTCCTGGTGGGTTGGTGTCATGGTTTAATGAAGCAGAATATGAACTCAATCCCAGTGGAATCAGGACAGTAGGCATGATACAGCCCGTAATTTTGCAGCCAAAATTGACACCCTTATTCATTGCCTTTTCCTAAAGTCCTTGAAAAAACCATGATTGGTGGAAAGATGTGTAATGTCTTAGTGATGGCTACCTTTGATGGAGGTTTGGGTACTCTGTCATGTGGTCTTCTTGCAGGCACAGTAGCTCACAGGAGGGGCAAAAGGTGGGGCTGTCATCTACATATCCCTATTTTGAATAATTTTGAACAATGTATTGTAGAGTTCCCCTTTTCCCTGTTTTCCGTCTCTTTGTAAATTCGTTCATATTTTCTTCCCCTCACACTTCTCATCTCATCCAGATTAAAAGAATTGGCTGAAGCATGTTCATATCACTACTTGGTTGCTTATGCTGCTAACAGAAAAATCCAAATGAGCCATGCTGCACTTTACTTCTGAGACTTATTCCTCCAAAAACTATTTCTGCTCCCAGGGAAGTCGATGGAAGTCTAATTAATCCCACAGTAATAACAAGAACTTCCTTTTTGTAGAGCAAAACAATCGCCGTGTTAAACTGTTAATTAAATGAATTTGGCTCTGTCATCAGGTTATTAACTAATTCTAGTCACAGCAGCCAAGCTAACACTGGCTCTCACAGCAGGAGAAATAGTCTTGCCATGCTTGACACAAAAGCCATGAACTCAGTCTGTGGCAAATCAGCATCTGAGCTCACAGCTTGGCTTGCTTTCGAGCTTCCAACTAATCCCTGGGATTGCTGCTTGTGCAAGCCTTCTACAAGATTAAGTGCTTGAGCCATTTGCTTCTGTAGATGTTAAATCAGGCCCTATTGCTGCTGATGGTTTGTTGAAATTCATAGGATCACAGAAATCACAAAATGGTTTGGTTTGGAAGGGACCTTAAAGACCATCTTGTTTCCAATCCCCTGCCCTGGGCAGGGACACCTTCTGCTAGACGAAATTGCTCCAAACCCCATCCAACCTGGCCTTGAGTACATCCAGGGATGAGGCAAACACAACTTTTCTGGGAAACCTGTCCCACATTCTTGCCTACATCTCCTTATTCTCCACTGGTTGTACTCTATAATATGAAGCAGCTGTCTCTGCTTCAGGACCAGAAGGTAAAGGTCTAAGGTGGAGTCCAAATACCATAGAAAAAATAGGAAAACATTTATTTTCATCTGTGGAGCATTCCAAGCTAGTGCTTTAATATATCCACTGCCTTGTGCTTTTTACAAAATTCAAATTTGTTTTTATTGTACAAAATTCCACAATGAAAACCACCTGCCAGTTTCATTCATAACTGCTTAAAAATATAATTATACACCATTTTGTAGTGTGGTAGTTTTGACATTCACTGAATGAGGACCTACAGAACTTTTCTTGCAGCACATCCTTTAGACAATAATATATTTTGGGGGAAAGACAGTAGAAAGATCTGAATAATGGCCCAGGACTGGGGTCCCTTTGCATTATTTCACACTGGTACCTTCAAAACACATTTTTGCAGTCTAATCTCCTGTGGCCTTTAAAAATAGATATACTATTCTTCTGCATTGAAATGTAATCATATGCAGTGATTTTCCAACAGTTTTTCTTAGAAATATAAACATTTCAGTTCAATGTTAGCTGGTTGAAACTCATGCTCCAGGATTTTTTTTTTAAAAGCCTTCACCCCAGAGATGACTTTCTTCACATTAAACTCAGTTAAATATATATTGCACACAACGGGAAATTTTCTCCTCTTTGAGTTAAACCATGGATCGGCAAAACACGGCAAATTCTCCTTCAAATCCCTGCAACCCGTACCAGTGGTGTAATTCAGGGACACTTCAAAAGCATTTAAAATCCACAGCTGAAAATCAAAGATGAGAATTTTACCCTTTATTTCTACACACTGTCAGTGTAGCACCTGATTTCTTCAGTTTCCAAGACATTTTGTGTTACTATGCTTTAAACTGATGGGCAAAGTTTTGCCTGCGGAAGCAAAAAAATGAACCCGCACCAATGATGATCACCAATAAAACCAACACAAATGTTAATATAATAAGGAAGTTGATTTTCTTCAGATCCTCTTTTTCACAGTCTTCTGGTCTAATGTTCTTGATGTGCATTTCCTCCTGGTACCCAAAATTCTGAGTGTGCTGGCACGTTAAATGCTCCACATTGGGGATCTGGACATTTTTGTTCTGGATCATGGATGAAAGCCAGATGTTTCCACAGCAGTCGAGTGGGTTCCCAGTGAGATACAAGTTTTTAAGTGAATTTTCTAATGCTAAAATATTGCTGTTCTGTAATGTACTGAACCTGTTGTTCCGTAGGTCCAGAACCTCTAGTGAAGAGTCACTATCCCACTTAGGCAGCCAGTTCAGCTGATTTTCAGAGAGGTTTAAATGTTTAAGGTGACTAAAACAAGGCAAGTCAATATTTAAATTTATCAGGCTATTACCATATAAATACAAACATTCCAGAGACTTTTCCAGACCTGATAATGCTTTAAGTTCTATTTTCAGTCCAGGGTTCATGGAGAGGTCCAAGACAACCAGAGAAGTCTTGTAGAAGCTGTATGCTGGTAGGATGCTCAGCATGTTGTCAGCTAGGTACAAGTACTGAAGAGCAGGAGAATTGACAAATGATACACAACCACTTTGCTCTCCAGCAAGTCTTTGTTTAGCTAATCCTGAGTACATGCTGCAAAGGCTGATGTTATTGCTTTGTAGATTAAGCAGTCTAAGGCTAGGAAGATTTGAGAAGATGTCAAACTGCAGTGTTTGAAGATAGTTGTTTTGAACATAGAGCTCCTTCAAATTTGACAATGCACCAGCATCGAGGAGAAGGTTCTGCAAAGCATTGTAGCTCAAGTCAAGGACAGTTAAAGACATCAATGCACTGTCATAACTTACTGCAAATGACTGAAGACAGTTTTTACTGAGGTTAAGGGTGTGAAGGGACAACATTGATTCAAAGAACTCATCTGGAATGGATTTGATTTCATTATAACTTAAGTCTAAATATACAAGCTGGGATAAATAAAGAGAACTTTTGTTTCTACTTTGCTTCTGATCAAGAAGATGGAAAGAAGCATTTAGCCATTCATTTTTCACATAGTCCATTTTATTATGAGGGGTTTCAGCAGTGAGCTGGATTAAATTCTTTGATAAATTCAGAGTTACCAGCTTATTTACCTGAGGGAACACTGGAAAATGAAACAGTTTGTTTTCACTCAGATCCAAACACCTTAAGCTATATTCATCATCTGATTTTGTGGTGTGGAAGGTCTCAATGCTGTTCCTGCTGAGGTCAAGTATCTCCAGCTGCCTGAGGTTAAAATCAGAGATGCAAGTAATTGAATTCTTTGAGAGATTGAGTTTGGACAGGCTCACTAGATTCTCAAAAGCACCTTCTTCTATTTCCATGATGATGTTGCTCTGAAGATCTATCTCCACAAGATTGGGAGATCCCTGAAACATCTTTTGTGAAATCATTATAATACTGTTGTCTGCCAAGGAAAGATACTGCAGTGCTGGAGCTTCTTTAATGAAATACTCAGCCATCCCACTGTACAGACTGTTGTGGGACAAGTCCAGTACTTCCACCTTGGGTAAGAGTCCGATCCCCTCTGTGCCATTTTGAGCAAGCTCATATAAATGATTGTTGGCTAAATTTATTTCCAGCAAACTGTTCATGTGTGCAAAGACTCCAGGCGTGATGAAACTTATCTGGTTAGAGCTTAAATCCAGGCACTGAAGGGAAGTGTAAAATGATGATGACATTTCAGGAATGCTTTGAATCAGATTTCCCGACAGATCTATTTTGTTTACATTTGGATAGAGTTCGTGAGGGATTTGGTGGAGGTCTTTGTTGTGGCAAAATGCCTGAGAATTTGCCTGCCAGAAAAAGAGAAAAGGAGTTGTCATATGACAAATGAAAAATGTATTTGCATTAAATATAAGAAAAATAACATTCAGCATCCAGGCAGATGCTGTTTCTGAAACACTGATCACTTTTTCTGAGCATTCAGACAGCAAGAGCAACAATCCCAATTAGCTCCTTTGCAACTAACAGCACTCATTTAATTTTAAAGAGATTTCTAACTTGGAACAGCAGAGTTTAATCTGCATGTGATACTTACCAAAAGTTTTCCTTTTTGTACCTTTCTGCTAGACTCATTTGAACAGTCCCAAGTTTCTCTGCAATCAAGCACTCATTTTTGTGCTGATGTTTCATTTTCTCACTTTCATCACTGTATTACATTTTGCAGACTCTACTTGCAGTGTAAGCAGTACTTGGAAGAACTTCACTCTATTGGCAACATGGGTTCCAGAGCAAGGAGGTATAAAAACCTGTAAGGATCCTGTAGCACAAACCCTGTCTCTCCTTCATGGTCACATGTTCAAATATGCCTTCCCTTAGCCATGGCTTAGTTAAGCAAGGCAGCTTTAATCAAATAGGGTCATCCAACAACTGAGACACTTCTGACACCAATCTCCAAACTCATTCCACTTTTATCTTTCATGTTTATCCTTTTCCTAAGGCAACAGTTGCCTTCTACTTGCATGGAGAGCACGTCTTATGAAGCCACCCACACAAGACACTGTGATACAACACTGAAAACACAAATTATGTAAATTCAGTTTTTGAGAGGGAAAAAGATGGGATGTGCAGTTAGGGTCAGGCCTTTACAGGCCAATTCTCAGCAGAAGGGCAAACTTTATGTGCATGTTCATAAGGAAACATGAACACAACCATCCTTACATAACCATCAAGTTCTGTTTTGTTGTTAAGAAGAACATACAGCAGCAGGAGGAAATTGAATGTGAAAGGCTTAGGCAGCATTTCATTTACTGGAGAAAAAGTCTTGTTGTTAATGTATTTGGGTGTCTGAGGAAAGGGAATTTCTAGGAAGGAAGGAAGGAAGGAAGGAAGGAAGGAAGGAAGGAAGGAAGGAAGGGTCTGTTGAATCTTAACTTCTATGGAGAAGCAGAATCCAGATACAATGACATGAAGCTTTTCAGAAATCAAGCAAATATTAAAAGTCAAAGATATTAAATCCCATCTGTCTTATATGAACTTTGAGGTGAATGAAGTGGCAGATCTGTTTAGCAGAAGTGGGGCACTAATCAGCATTTTGTACATCTCTTTTGCATCATCTTAGTTCTGGAGACCACACAAGAATGTGCCAGAGAAGTACAAGTGGTCATTCAAACTCTAGATAGACACAAGCTGCTCCCATGACTCATTTTTCCCAATGATCCCAAGTAATTTGGCTATTAAAACTTAAACTCCTTCTTCTTTTCCCTCTAACTCGCTCATATCTCCCTCAGCTTAAAAAAAAAATAAATAAAAAAGAAGGAAATTTTCTGACTTCTCCCTGAAAATATTTCCTGCAAAGTCACTGTACAATTCCTAATTTTGAGTTAAATTATGCCCAGAGTGGGCCTTATTTCCTAGGCACAAATAGCAGGGCAGGAAACCTCTTCTTACTCATTTGTGGAAGAGGAAGAAGCCGGGAGGATACAAAAATCTGGAGTGAAAAAGCAGAAACTGCTTTGCATCCTAAGGCAGATGCCAGGTTTTTTCTCACACTTTCAGCCAGATCCCAGCAAGTGCTGAGCACTCTGCATTCTTCCTGGGCAGCTAGAATCTTACCAGAGTCCTGATGCAACTCCTGTCAATGCCAACAACCTGCTTTTCATGGAAGTTGATGGGGGAGAGGTCAGCCACTGTTCACCATGTATCTTGCCTGGTTTGGTTTTTAATCTGCATCCATGGAACCATCCCAGTTATAAAAGGGACTAATAAAATCTACACCTCACACTGTCTGCCATTTGTTCCTATAATGTTTCCCCTCTCATTTTTCTTCTTAAGATCTCCTTCCTTTTCACTGACTATTTTGATCCTCACTAAATTTCCTATCTTGTCTCCTTTGCTCCATATTTTCTCCCCCAAGGCTCAAACTGCATGAACTTCATTGTCATCAGCAGTAGGAAAAAAAAGATGAAGCATGTCTCTTTGAGATGGAGCAAACAGCATCTGTTTGGTTTATCTCCTTGCCTCTCACCCCTTAGTCCAATGGGTTGGTAGCCTGAGACTGGAAAAGATACTTTTGTCAATCTCATGTTCTGACTTCCATCACCTCTGCCAGTGCTGCCTGCAGTTTGTTTCAAGTCCATTGTCAAGAAGTACTGGAGGGTGAGGACCACTTGGTCCCATTAAGATGCTGGCAAAATAAAAAATAAAAAATTACCCAACAGTTCAAAACCTGGGCATCATTTGGTTTCTGACTCCAGTTCTTCACTGCTCAGCACTGGATGGAAGTTGTCAGCCACCTCAGTAAGAGCTTGACAAAAAGGAGTTGGACTCAAGCCTACCCTTGAGTTCTCCTTTATCAATTCATAAACATTTGAACCAAGAATCTGGGCTGGAGTCATTGGCAACTGACCTCTACTTGTATGGTGTCCCTGACCATTCTTAGAAGAGCTGCTCAGGCAGAGGCTTAGCTACACAAACAAACCTTAGCATTTGCCCAGGTACCACACATCAGCTGACTTATGACATCTGGTTATGCAGCTGTCCTTGCATCACCTCAAAGCAAGGTAAAATAGAATTTTCTAAAATCCCTTCCCTCCTATGAATTATTTGAAATCTCCCCCTTTGCCAATTAACAGGAATTAGCAAAATCATCTTTCTTTGGGAGGTAAAATATGATACAGCTGAAGCTTTCCCTATCCTTAGAAAACAATGTGAGTTAGGAAGAACGTCCTGACATCTGTTCCTTACTGTCTCACAAGCTGATAGATGTGCTGTAACTGGTATAATCAGTGCAGTTCACCCCATGCCAGGAGTCTGGTAGGGACTGCTTAGTTCCTAAAACCTCTTGTAGGAGAGTTTAGTTCAGCAATAGAACCATCAGTGGTGACTCAGAACATGGCACAGGTTTCTAACTCATGCCTCTTCTGTGAGATTTGAGATTAAAGTTTCCATTTCTGAGCCTTTACTATTCTAAAAGTGTCACCACAGGGAAAGTACCATATAAAACAGTGATGCTGTGATGCAATGCAGGACTGTCAGTGACAGCTAACCAGCTAATCCAGTAGCTCCTTCTTTCTTTGAGCTGTGTTTAGATCCACACCAAATGCCAGTGAAGGACGGCAATCAGTATGGACATTAGCAACGCTGAGCTGTTGATTTACATCAGATGAGCATCCTGGCCCCTGACAGCAGTGTGTTATCTGTCAGGGCTCATTTTATCCCAGAGTAGTTGCGTTGTTGGCTTGATGAGAGCAGTTTACAGTGGAGTAGTGCAAGCAAGCATGTGTTTACTTCTCAGCAATCAGCCTGGTCTGTGACCCATCAAGAAAGGGGATGAAACTGCTGGGATTATTGCGTGGCTCATCCAGCCTTCGTGTGACTATGACATGGGACCCAGGCTGTCCTGTTTACAGTGGTTGTATCAGTGTTCCCTCTCCAGCCAAGGAGCTGAGCTACCCAGTCACCTTCCCAAGATCTTTTTATATATACACTAGGTCTTAATTTCTCTGGAATTCAGGAAGTGCAGCAATATGGCAGGGTGGGCAGGAATGGAATGAGTCCCACAAGGGAGATGTGTACAGCTAGCAAATTATTTTTTCCCTATTTTGGAAATTCTTGAGGATTTGTGCTGGACAGCTTCAATGTTCAAGGGGGGAAAAGAAAGTATTTTTAAACATCCTGGTACAGTCAGAAGCACTTGGAGAGGGAAGGGAGAAAGTTCAGTTGCAAATAACATTTATAATATTGTACCAGGTGCTTGCAAAAATTCAAGGAGCAGATTTTGCACTGGAGCAAGAGTCTTTGTCATTTCTCTTCGCTCCAGCAGAAGTCAGGTACAACTTCCCTGGCAGAAATGCTGTGTCAGGGCAGAGGAGGTCAATGTACTTACTATTACAAAAGAGCTGGTATAGAAGTATTCAACAGAATATGTTTTTATGAAAGTACAAAGAACAACTGATATAAAGAAGTTGATTTCTCCGTCTTAGCCACAGAAACCCTGTACAATCTTAGGGAAATCAAGTCAAATTTCTTTTAACCAGCTCCTCCTTAGGAAAAAAACTGAGATAATGACCTTTCTTTGCCCACCCCTCTCCCCCTCCCCTTAGTGTGCTGTGACTACAACAAGGACACAGCTTGATGACAGACTGCTAAGCATCCCCTAAACCTGCAAATCCCACCTCTGCCATCTCAGGAAGCCTGGTCCTGGGGGTTTCCCTTCTCAGAGGCTGTAGCTGCTTGTGCAGTGCCTGTAACAAGGGAGTCCCAACCTCACTCAGGATCTCAAGGGACCTAAGTAGAGAGACAGCCTTACCATTTCACAGGCTGTCCCCTCGGGGAGTTGGTAGTTAGAGGTTTCTTTGTTCACCACTGCCAGGAAGAAGATGATGTACAGTTTCATGGCTCTGCGGGTAAAAATCATTGGTTAGATTTCATATGGGACACAGTGGTCAACACATGCAAAAGCTGGCAGCAGGTCATCATCTAACATGGAGAAGGACACCAGCAGTGCAATAAATTAAGCCATCTCTGAGGACTTGAAAGGAAGGTCCAAGGCATTTAATGGGTTTTCCCCAGTGTGATTTCAGCTGCTGCCTAAATGATATCCAGGACACTCAACAAAGTCCAGACATTCAAGCTGGTCAGGGTGTCCAGCATCATGGAGAAAGAAAACTAGTGAAGAGGAAATTATCTTCACACACCCCATAGACACAGCACCAGTGCTTTCAACTGGGCTTTAGTTTTGGGTGCCATGTCCTGAGCAAAGCCAATAGGTGCTGCTCAGTAACAACCAGAAGTGGCAACAGTTGTAATTTCCATCCACAACATAGTCTACTCCTCTTATCCCAGAGCGTCAAAGAGCATTTACGTGTGTATCTTTGTTGAGTTAATGCCAACAGCTTCAGGAGTTGTCCTAGGTTACAATATAAAGATGCATTCTATTCCCATCCTCAAGAGCTGCTGAAACCAGGAGAGGCATTGTTTTTCCTTATCTCCTGTTAATGGGCCCATCAATGTCTTGCCTCATGACTCAGAGACAACTCCCTCCCAGAGCCATTTCTGTTTAATGGACCCAGCACACGACTCAGAATGAGATCAGCCCATTGTGAGATGCTCTGCCCAGGAGGGAGGAGCTAAGCATCCCCACCTGGATAAAATCTGAGGTTTGGGACAGAACAAGCTGCCCTTACCCACTGGTTTCCCAGTGGAATGGCTACCCTTACCCACTGGTTTCCAGATGACAAGAGCTACCAGATGGTTTCTACGGGATCACCACTTCAACAAGACCTTTTCATCTGGACTGCTACCACCACCCTAACTAGCAGGGTGTCAGGTTGTATTCTGACTCTGTCAGTGGTTTTTCTTTTGTATTATTGCATGTATTTTGTGGGGTTTTTTTTCCTTTTCCTAATAAATTGTATTTCTGAATTGGAGTCTCTCACTGGTTTTGCTTTCAAACCAAAACAGGAGTGGACTGAGATTTTTCATTTTACATGATCTAGGTATGGGCAGGCTTATAAATACATTTGACAGGAGATCATAGAACCATATGTTCCACCGAATCACAGAATATGTAAAATTTGAAGGAACCCACAAAAATAATTGGGTTCAATCCCTGGTCCTGTACAGCACCATCCCCAAGAGTCACACCCTGTGTCTGAGTGTTGTCCAAATGCTTCTTGAACTCTCTTAGGCTTGGGTTGGAAGAGACCTTTAAAAGCCATCTGGTGCAATTCCCCTGCCATGGACAAGGACAAATTGTCAGCCTTACAAAGAGACAGATATAAAACATAATGGATTTGTGTGAAACAGAGAATTCATAAGAGTGTAACTGTTTGGAAAGCACTCCATAAAAGAGCATAGAACTGAAAAAGAAGCAAACACGTCTGGGAGGCCTGTCACTGGACAGTGGGGAAAAACAGAACCAAAGCCAAAGGCAAGTATTCCTGCTTCAAACAGCTCCAAATGCAACCCCAATCCCATGCACAAACCACTGGCATCAATGTACTCTGTGGCTTCCACCCACAGAGCATTGACAGAACTGAAAAAGAGCAAACACCTCTGGGAGGTCTGTCACTGGACAATGGGGAAAAACAGAACCAAAGCCAAAGGCAAGTATTCCTGCTTCAAACAGCTCCAAATGCAACCCCAATCCCATGCACAAACCACTGGCATCAATGTACTCTGTGGCTTCCACCCACAGAGCATTGAATAGCTGGAAACAAAAGAGATAGGATCATTCTCAGCTTATGGAGATCCCTCTGTTTAATCACTTGGATGGATGCAGCTGATGGCCCCGTACAGCACTGACAGTTACTGAACAGCAATGCCAACAAGTTCCTGATGAGAATATGCCCAATTCTACCCTCCCAAACCAGAGAACACAGCTGTGTACTAGGAATAGAGAAACTGGGAAGGACTGGACCACAGCTACTCTGTGTACTGTTTGTGTATTCCTTCCATTTCACAAGAAAACCCCAGTGATGGATGATGACCTGTGACCCCAAGGTGAAAGAGCAAGTCTCAGTAATGGGATTACAAGTGTGCTCCTCCCTGTTAAAACCAAACTAAGGATGTTAATTCTCTACCATTGAATCAATGTTTGCAAAATATGCTGAAATCATCTGATGGAAAGAGGAATTGCCAATATCACCATCTATAATGTTTTATTGACCCTTTCTGTTCTTCATTCCCCATGCTTGGAACAGCAGGAACCTCCTTTAAGGAGGAGAAATCCATTTTTATCATTTGAGTATTAGTTTGCTGAGGTGGTGATAGAAGGTGAACATACCAATGATTACAAGGCTTTTCTCCAAGCCCTCAAAGGGAAATCCTTTCTGTTCAGACAAAACTAATTAAGCTGAGGATATTAGCCACAACAGGGCACCACCCTGAGGAACATTATGTGGCCCATGTGCTCTTCAATGTCTTCACTTGTCACACTATCAGGGCAAAAAAAGGTCTCTTTGCCTCTTAAATAACAAACCTGACACAATCCAGAAGCTTAACACACTTTACAACTTCCTAAATTTTAGGTTTATAAAGCAACTGGGAAATTAGGAACATTATGTGGCCCATGTGCTCTGCAATGTCTTCCCCTTGTCACACTATCAGGGCAAAAAAAGTCTCTTTGCCTCTTAAATAATAAACCTGACACAATCCAGAGGCTTAACACACTTTATGACTTCGTAAGTTTTAGGTTTATAAAGCAACTGGGAAATTGATGTATTTGAACAAAAAAAAAAAATTGATGTAATGGTTTGCTGCAAGGCAAATCTGTAATAACCAAGGAAGCTGTGCCTCAAGGTGTTTCTAAGGTGGCTGTCACATACTGAAGGTCATCAAGGATGTAGTGGCCTCTTCCAGCATAAGGCAACATAGATTCTGTCCTCACAGAACCATTTAGTTTGGAAAAGCCCTCTAAGACCATCAGCTCCAGCTGTTCTCCCAGCACTGCCAAGGCCATCACTACCCCATGTTCCCAAGTGCCACATCCACACATCTGTTAAATCCCTACAGGGATGGCGCCTCCACCACTGCCCTGGGCAGCCTGTGCCAGTGCTTAACAACCACTGTGGTGAAAAAACTTTTCCTAATATGCAAACTGAACCTCCCCTGGCACAACCTGAAACTACTTCCTCTTGACCTGTCATGGTACAGCCCAACCTCCTTGCTCAAGGAGATTCCCTTCCTAGGGTAGCTTTCAGTTCAGCTGTCCAGTGGAGGAGCTTTTCCTGCATAGCTTTTCTCTGAACAACATTTAAATCCTTCTCAGCAACCTCTAGTGTGACACATCAGTGCATCCCCCTCTTTTCTACCCTCTGGGCAGGTCTCAGCATCCCCTCACACTCTCCCAGTGCCAAGCTCAGGTTTACAGTACCCCCATTCTCTTGGTGTGCAAGAGGATGTCTACTGACACTAAACCCTGCCTGTTGGCATTGATCTCTCCATCCACAGCTTACAAAAACAGTTTGGGAGCAGAAGTAGCAACCACTCAACTTAAAGGAGATTTTATCGCTTTGATGCTTTCCCAGAGTAGAAGTAGCTTCATCATCAGTGCCAGTTTGTTCCCACTGGAAGCTGTGACAGAAACCCCAGCATAACTCAGAGGGTTGAGCGCTGAACCCTATTTAAATCCACAGCTTTCCATTACAGCACTTCAAAATCATGCACTGTTAACCCCAGCTGAAAAATGCAGGTAATTTAAGTCAACATCATCCCCAAGGAGTATTAATAAGTCAGTCAAATAATTCTAGAAAAATGCCCACTTAAAAAGTAGGAAAGGCAGAGAAGGCAGAGAAGACCAGTAATTTGCCCCAATACACATTTCACACTATGAAATAATAACAATTTCTTCCCTGTTTCTACTTCAGAACAATGTTTGCCTCCATCTCTATCACAATATTAATCCTGAAACTACTTCACAGACATTGTTTGCAGCTAATAAAAGCAGCACTTTCCAGATTTCCCCCAAATGTAATTTTTGTTATTGCTTAGACAATTAACGGAGATGCTCTCCCGTGCCAAGGAAAGTTAAATACAAGAGAACACACAGAACAAAAATCACACTCCCCAGGGTCTGATCCTTTTCCACACAAGACTCTTTCCTGTTAAGTTAGAGCCTTCAGGTGTTAAAGAGTGACTAATTCACATTTACCTTGTTTCAAGGGTTTCTTGCATCCCCAAACACTGCTTTTCATCTCTTTAAAAAGCATGTCCAGCTCTTCAAAATCAATTCAGTCCTGGTACCGATGCAATTATTCTTCAGACTCATGTTCACCCATTCAGGACACCTAGAGGTTCACTCATAACTTCAGAATGAAGGCATTTTCAAGGAAATAACCTTATTTGGGACAGTGTCTGCTTTAAATTATGTTGCTTGTCTTCCTCTCCACTCCTCCCCGGGCTCTTGCTGGGTCCCAGCCACCGCTGTGCTCTGGACGGAGTCAGCTACTGTGTGACATCCTGCAGCCCTTCCTTGGGGCAGGCATTGAGAGACAGGGGGATTTTTGCCAGAGGAGCTGTCAGGATCAGGCTGTGGGTTTTCTCCAGAGGATAAGTAACTTATTGGCGATGCCATTGTTTGGCTGTGTGCGTGGGGCATGACAGTGTGTTTATTTTGGGTGTGTCTGCCAGTTACATTCCTGGAGGGTTGTAGCCTCCTGCACCTAAATCTCTCTCTGCATCTTTAAGGAAACAGGGCTTGCGGATTAAATGTTTAAAATTCATGGCTGATAATTATAAACACCAAAATCTGGAAACCTGTTATGGAAGAAACATTTTTTTCTTTTTGCAGTCATCCTACTAATGAGAGTGTGATTGCAGTCTGCTGGCAGGAGGGGGTCCATTGCTGGCTACAACACCCTTGATGGATTTTCATGGCATGAGGCAGGAATTAGGGCTA